ACATCTGTCACCGTAACGCCATAAGTTTCAGTGTGCCTTAATTTTGCGGTATTTTGCGGGGTAAAGGAGTTCGCTGATTCTAAACATTTTGGATTTCGGCTGCGCGTCGGTCAATACTCCAGCTGTACTGTCTTCGTGCATACTTTGAGGTATCCTCGTAATAACCTCATATTATACATCTTACGTACCGTGTTTTTGCAGTTTTTCGCTGGGTATCCACATCAAAACTTAATGGAAATTTGGAATTCCAAATATCTTTAAGCAATTTTTCATTGCAACCAATCACTACCAAATTCCGTTCTCATACTGCGAACGGGTGGATCGGGAATATGCATTTTAATATGCAATCAGAGAGTATCCGCTGACATCGGGATCTCATCTACAAGTCGTACGATACTCTCGCTGTACTGACATCTGATGTCACATGGTATATCCAAGTGTAACTCGTCTACGTCTCGGATTGATATAAATTCTGGCGATATTACGTGTTTACTGACGTTGAAGTAGAGAAAATGTCGAGGGATTATATAGAAATTCACAACCTGTCATTAGCTATTATCCCAGGTATCGGTGGCGTGGCACGTAGAAAAATGAATAAATGGATTGCATTGAACAATAGCATTAATGCAACAGCTTGATTCATAAAATAAACGTCGACATAAAAAGCATTGCAAAAGCATTTTGTCTGTACCATACAACAGTGTACAATATTGTGTACTTGACATGCGTTTAGTGTAACAAGTTTTGATTGATAAATTGGACAAGGTTATTTTCTCATTCTGAAAGTCTTGTTTTCCTTTAGATGAGTGGAATCCATGTCCATGCCCATCATATTAATTTATTTGATTTGTTATCAAACGGTTTCGAGGTCACTGGCGATCTGGCACGCATTACATCAGCGCCGGTAATTCGGCGGCGGCCATATTTAATTTAGACAAAAATAGTAACGTGGCCCATTCTTTGAGCATGTGTGCGAACTTCAAAGTTACTGCTAATGAAATTGTATTGATTATTGATGAACGAATAATTGCTTAACGAATGCATTTGATTAGTAATAGGCAAGCACACATTAGCATTTATGTGAACTCAACCAGCGTGAAAATGTGGCTTTACTCATATATATCACTATGAATTAGCACGTGCAATATTGCCATGTGTTTTCCTCGCCTTACTATTTTCCTATTAACTTGGAAGGTTGAGGGCAATGTGCTTTAAATTTGATTCATTAATTTGTCTGACTGTGAGAATATTTTAAATTTATTGATAGGAAATTGTGGATCATCTCGCTGCCAAAATACCAAGAAGAAACATTTACACATCAGCCGATATATCAGCAGAAAAACACCCAGAATTAGAGTTATTTAAAGAAGACATGTATTTCCTTTCTCTCTTAGAACAGGAGATATGCGCAAGTGAGTATAAGAGGTTGGGAAAGGACGGGAGAGGGTAAAATAGAACGATGGTAGGGGAGATAGAATGAGAAGGGTAGCATAAAATAGGGGAAGTGGGATAGAACGAGAGGAGGATGGTACAGAACGGGTAAGTGTTATAGAAGGGAATGGGTTTGGATGGAACGGGGGTGTGATAGAACGGGAGGTCGATTGGATAGGATTGAACGAGGAAGAATGGGATTGAATGGGTGAGATAGAATAGGAAGGGATGGAATAGATCGAGGAAGAGAGTGGTGTATAATGGGAGGTAGAATGACATAGAGGGTAAGAGAGTTTGAGGAAGAGAGCCAGCTGGAACTTAAAAGAGAGTGTGATAGAAGGAAAAGAGGATGGACATGTTTTCTTTCAATAACACCCCCGATAGTTATATTCATTCTGTGTTTTATTTTGGTAGGGTCATCAGCGTTTATTGGTTGTGGTAGATCAAACTGGTCGATTTTTGTCTGGAAGGAAAGGTTGGCAGCGGGCAGAGTAGCTTCGTACCTTTTGAAGCAAATGCCCGGGATACCGAAAGAACTACAAGCTCATCTTTAGTTACCGGTTGGCGGCGCTCTGCTCCGAGTTCTATAATCACCTGTACTTGTTGGTTTATCTACTCGTCGATCCTATGTTCCAATTACTATGAAATTGTCAGGCACGTGGTCATGTTCCCCAGGTGGCGTTCGCAGTTTTAATAAAAAAATGACAATTTAATCTTCAAATTTGACAATAATTGAATGCATATGGGCATCTCCAAATATCTGTGAAGAGTAGGAAATATCTCAACTATTTCTCGGAGTACAGTAACTATATGATAACTTATCCAACCAAAATACAAACATTATCACATCGTGACATTTGTTTTTATTTATACTCCCCAAATCGAGTCATTGTGCGTAAGAATTTAGATTTTATTGACTTGATAGATTTAGCAGAATCTTAGGTGTAAATAATTGGCAGCGAATTGTTGGGAAGTGAGCGTGCTGACAGGAAAGACATTGTTTTGCATCAAGACAACTTCGCTCACTCATACTCACCCATACTTATAGTTTTCCTCGTTTTAAATGCACTAACCATTCATCTATAAATGCAATCTTTTGTCGGCTATGCAGTTACTCACGCAGACCTACATTTAAATCAGAGGACTCAAAAAGTGTGTCTATTGTAAGCGCCACCCAGTCAGTCCCAGGGAGTCGACTCCTTTAAGCACGTAGGAAGCAGAATATTATGTTGTTATGAATCCATGTGGTACGCACACATGGTCGTACTCAATATGCATAGCGCATGTATTGACATGGTTGGTATGATTGAAGCCCCACTGCGTCGTGTTCGATACCAGTCCAGGGATTGTATACAACGGAAATGTTTATTTACACGAAATTACGACACACACACACACATACACACACACACACACACACACACACACACACACACATAAACACACACACAGCGTCACGACCGCGGCGTTTTAAAACAAACGATTAATGTATTTATTTATTGTACAATATTTTTATTTTCGAGGGTTGGTGGGTTATTGTTACATGGTGACAACGTGCGTGACGTATAGCACCATATTGTCGTTATTTAAACGGATGTTTTCGTGTTACGTAATACAAATCACCAACTCCATATGAATCTTATTAATATATAGTAACAAATGATATTAGTGTGTCAATATTGACTAGAAATTAGCATTATTGTTATTCTTGTATTGATTTATGCCTTCACTGTGGAACTGGTTTAAGATTACGTGGTAACATAGGTTTCAGGAAAGTCTTTAAATTAGATTAATGTCGTAGTTCAATAAATAAATTTTAAGCAACATGCATCTTGTTTGCTTCTGTTTTGGGTTGTGTCGTTAGTTCGACGTTATTAATTGAGCCCTCGACGTAGTTTGAGGTGTGAGCCCGTCAACTAGGGCCAAGTAATCAACTCCGACTGTTTCAAGGCACATAACAGTTACCGTCAAATTGAACACTTGTTATAGAAATGGATCTTTTCTGAGGTGAGTTAGAGGAGTTCGATTGCAATGCAATCGGGCATTTTAGAACATTTCCAAAATTATGGCCGCGACTCCTGCGAAAAAACAAAAAAAACAAAAATGTTACAACACTTCTAATTTTGCCACCATCAGAGCACGAGGGCTCGACGACTTGAATGCGATTGTTAAATTAAATTAATGAATTGAAATTGCATTCTCACTTTGTAATATATGCACTGATTATTGTGTTCATTGTGAAAAATGATAAAATCAGTTGATTTGGCATTATTTGGAGCACTGAAGGGTTCTGCCTTTTGTGTAGATATACAAAAACCCGAAGAGCAGATGAACGCGGTAAACGTGACACGTGTTATCACCCACAAAAGTAACAACAACCATAAATGATAACAAATTTGATTACAGTTTACAAAAATAGCTCTTGCCGACCCTCATAAATGTAATACATTTCAGAAATAGCAACTGATTCATGTACATTTCATAATCAACGTCTTGTTTATTTCAACTACAATCTACCCACTAAGCTCATTCAGTAGACTGACCAAGAATTCACGCAGCTCGTCAATCTGAAATTGTACAAACTGACATTGTTCTATAGCTACATAACTGTAACATATTTTATAAATCAGACCATGGCTGCAGGTAAGCAGATTTAGTCAAAGTACTATGTCTGGAGTTGACAGTTCTTTTTTTAATCATTGAAAAAAACACATTGACCAACAAAAGGGTTCGAACCCACAACATTAAACACGGCAGGCGGAGCATGATTTTTGCGTCAGGCATTAGAATTGTAATTTCAATGTCTAGTTTCTTGCATTGAATTATTTATGAACAAATGACAATATATATTTCGTGTTTATGTAAATTAGCACACGTTCAGGGTTATGCACTTACAAGGCAGCCGTTTGCTGAATCTTTCGATTTTCTTGTGTTTTTTTGTGGAGTAAAGTTAAGACTTACCACCCGAAAGTGCTATCGGATAATCGCCACACTTTTGGTCTTTCAAATGGCACTTGTGCTTTTGTTATATTCGATAACCACCACTTTC